TATTCTATTATAATTGGTAGCTATCACAATCAGTCAAAACCACCAACGAAAGTCTGACGTTAAATAATTGGTTTATTTATTTTTCCAAAGCACACTATTAAAAAATAATAATGTGTACTGTTGTACGTTAGAGACCACTACCTCAATGTTTACAGATTGTAACTTTTTCTAAGGTAGGTACATACCAATTTTGAATTGACTGATCTGAGACAGTTAAAAAACTGGATCAAAAAGAAATATTACTAAGTATAAAAAAAATGTTGAATATCCAAAATATGTAATGAATTCAAAAAACGAGCAAGAAAACCACGTCAGTTTCCGTTTGAAACAGTTTATCTCGAAAACGGTTTAAAATAGAAATAGTATTATCTGAACAAAGGGGTTTACCCCGGTATCAAGTATAAAAACTGGAAATCGATCTTGAAAATATAGTAACTAGTGGAAATTAGACAAAAGTGTTTCATTCATTTCATAAAATGTACTCTTTTGTTATATGTTTCATTTATATTTTACTGATTAAAATTTTCATATTTTTAAAAACTCCAATATATCTATCTATCTATCATTCAGGCAGTTTTCGAATAATCTGTTTATGGTATCCCCTAGTTAAGTAAAATATTTAGAACCTGCACCCGTTTTCGTATTGATACCAACGTTTTTGCAGCTTTATGTGCTTTCAGGGTTTTTGACAAAAACAACGATGGTCTGATATCATCAACTGAACTTCGTCACGTGATGACTAGTTTGGGTGAGAGGCTGTCGGAAGAAGAAGTTGAGGATATGATAAAAGAGGCTGATATGGATGGAGATGGCCAAGTGAATTATGAAGGTATTATATTTTTCAATACACTGGTGTTACCTCAACTAATTTCAGAATATCAAAAAACTACAACTTCAGTAGCCAAGTTTGATATGTACATTAAAGTCATAAATCAATTAACACATTCAATAACTCAGGTATTACAGAAATGCTAATGTCAATATTTCAACTTGGTTTTCTCTGTTGTTGTTCCAGAATATATCATGAAATATCACAAAATATTTCAATGGAAATGTGCGGGCTTATAATTCAAAATTGACAGCGGACTTGGCAAGAAAAGGATTTCATTGACAACATCACAGATACTTCAGAGCAAGTCACTGAAAGGAAAGAAATGATCAAGTGATAGATTTATTTATTTATTTCATGCACTATTCTACAGGGAGAAACAGAATAGGGAGAAACAGTAGCACTTACAAATATGTACTTACATAATATAATTTGTGAATCTATACCAAAAAAAAAATAGAAACAGAACTGTCAGTTGGCTAAAAAACGTCTTTTGATTCGTGTAATCTGGCAGTTGAATATATCTAGGACACTATTGACAGAATTAGAGGTATCGCACATTGTATGAATTGGGGATTTTTTCATTACATTTGTTCGCGGAGTGTTGAGATAAAAAGTGACAATATTCCTAAATGACCGTCTAGGAACCCAAAAATTCAACATATGTAACAATCGAGAGCAGGTAATGATATTGTTTATGATTCTGAATGATGAAATAAATGAATAATATTTACGCCTCACCTCGAGACTACAAAATGTGAGTTTCAAGCAATTCATATTAGGGTATTCCTACAGTAGGATACGTGCCTTCAAGTTTAAAAGACATATATTTCAAAAAGCGCCACTGTGGGGCTTCTAGTTGATTTGTATGAACCTGATAGAAGGGACTCCACACAACAGATGCATATTCCAGCCTAGATCGAACAAAAGTGAAATAAAGTAATTTCGATGTTGAAGCTATTTCGAAGTCTTTTCTAACTGAGAATCCATACATGCGATAAGCAGCTGTCAGAGTAGTGTCAATATGTTTATTGAAAGAGAGGAATCTAACACCTAAATCAGTGAGTGTGTCATGACGCTCCAGAACTTATTGTTCATGACGTAGTTGTGTAATGTCAAATTCGTTTTCAGTGGGTGGGATATTACATTACATTTGGATATGTTGGGAGATAGATTATTCTTCTGACATCATGTAGCAACACGGTTTTAATTCAGGGCGCGACATTCGCAATCATTAGATGATGTTATATTGTAATAGAGTTTCAAGTCATCTGCGTATAAAAGGAAATTGACATCAATCTCAGCCCCGATATCATTGATGAACATATTGAACACTAGGGGTCCTAGGTTTGACCCTTGTGGTACACCAGATATGGCTACATATTTGACAGACTTGAGGCCATTGATTGATGTAGCCGTTACCACGTGGTAGGAGATCATCATGAAAAATGAGAATTAAAACTTCTTATGGACGTTTTCGAATGAATACAATGAATAATCGAGTGAATGGTCTCTTCAAAAATGGGGCTAATTTCTGCAAGCAGAAATCTAAACGATAAGAAACAGAGAGTCAGTTGAGTTGTGAAAAAGTAGCCTACTTTTGGTGAATGCTAAATTATAATGAAAAAATCAACTCTCACTGTTTTGGTTTCGGAGATATACTGGATAAAAAAACTTTTCGGATCCAATTTTTGTGTGCATCTTTTATTAATACTCCAACCATAGAAACTTTCAACTGCCTTTCAGAATATCTTCATATGATTTTCATACAAGTGGACGTCAGACTCAAACAAACGACATAGAGGTAATAAGTGATACATAAAGAGAAGTGAATATTGTTTCTATCAGATTAATTGTCATGACTCTAATCGAATAATGATGATTGAATCAATAATTGAAAGGAACTGGTCGAAACATGATGGTAATCCATTTCAAAACTTACTAATAGTTTTTACTATCAGAGGTTTACAAAACCGCCACAGGTGTTTCGCTACACAAAAGCTTTCAGAATTTTGCTTGAATAGCGAAACGCGTATCGCTGCTTTGTGAATTTTCTATTAACAATAGCTTTCTCGCTGTACATCTCCAGATGTACAGCGAAACACGTTTTGTGAACCGTTTACGGTCGTAATCAAAATGAGTCACATCAGTTAGTATCCAAATTATACAGAATAGTCATTCTTAAGGAGCTCTCAAGAGTATTGAGTGAATTAATTGATGATATTTTTGACAAAATAATAATGGGATAATATCTAATATATAAAAATGGATGTTTGTTGGTTGGTTGGTTGGTAAGTGATAAACTTCTACATCGCTCAACCGATCGTGATGAAACTTGAGTAAAACTTGAGTAATTTTTCATAGAGAAGGTTTTTAGGGTATCAATTTTTCTGTAACTCGCCACTAGATGGCGCTGTAGAACAATTTTTTGAAAGCAAGTTCGTTGATTCTGATTCTGTCAAAAACATTAGAACAACAGCGAAACAGCAACATAGTACTAGTCTTTTATAAAAAAGTAGATAGAAATAAAGTGAATATTAAAATTTCGCAGGCTATGTATATAAGAATAGGGTTTTCAATTGTTTTATGTTGGCACACCTGTCCTGAACATATGTTTACAATATCAGCTGTTTAGCATGTTGTTGGTGAGAGGTATAAAAGTTTTTGCTATGAAAAATAATCAAGGAATTTGAATCAAAAGTGCTCAAAAGTACTTGAAACATTGACAGTGACATACGGTGATTGTACCCTGAGTTGGAAAAATGTTAACAAGTGGTACAAGCTGTTCACAGAAGGGAAGACGTGACGACGCTAGCCCCGAACGCCGCAGCACATCAACAAACGATGAAAATGCTGAAGAAGTGAAAAGAATTGTTATGGATGATCGTCGAATCACTTTTAGAGAAGTTGCTGTGAACGTCGACATATCGGTTGGCCTATGCCATGCATTTTTTTTTTTTTCGAAATCTTGGGCATGAAGAGTGCGTCCGCTGAATTTTGACCAAAGAAACCGTCGCATGAGCATCGCTCAGGAATTGTTGGATCTGGATCGCCAGATTTGCTCGAAACGGATATAACTGGATGACGAGTCATGGATATATGGTTATGACATCGAAATCAAAGTCCAGTCATCCCGATGGAAGAGCCCAGGACATCCAACACCAAAAAAGCATTCCAGTCTTTATCAAATATCACAGTTTTCCCGCTGTTTCATCAGAAGTTTTTACCACATGGGTATTCTTCAATAAGGAGTATTACTTCGAATTTATGTGGCGCTTGTGAAAATTTAATTTATGGGTTTTGCATCACGATAATGCACCTGCTTACTGGTCATTGCTTCTTTCTAATTTGTTGGCCGAAAACAACACTATGATCGTGTGTTAGCCACCGTATTCACTACATTTGCCTCCCTGCCACTTCTTTCTGTTCCAAAGCACGAAAAGATTCATAGGTAGATGGCGTTTCGCGACGTTTGAGCAGATGAAAACCGAATCTCTGAGATAACTCAAGTTGGAACTTCTTGACATATGAACAGCCTATCCGATATTTCACGCCGAACATTTTCGAACACAGTAACGTCAATATCTCTACAAATATTTATTTTTTTCTGCCGTATATCCAATACTGAAGCAGGTTCAATTTCATACACCTTTTGCTTCAAATAGCCCCATAAAAAAGTTCAAAGGTGTCAAATCTGTCAAGCGGGCTGGGCATTCTGTAGGATCTCGACGGCCAATCCAACGACGTGGAAAAGTAGTACCCAAATAGTTTCTTACTTATCTGGAGTAATGTGGTGGTGCTCCGTCTTGTTAGAATACAATATCCATATCGAATTCATTAGGATTCGCTTCGACGATTTCAGTGATGAGAGGGTTAACAGTGATTTCCAGCATATTCAAATACAGTTCCCCTGTTGAATTTTGGTCAATAAATAGAGGTCACACAATATGGTTTCCATATATTCCAGCTCAAAAGGTAATATTTCCTGGATATTGAGTATGTGTTTCCTGGAAAATTTGAGGTTTGGTATCACTGCAATAACGGCAATTTCATCTGTAAAGATTGCCGTTTAAAAAAAATTACATTCGTCACTTAAACAAATATTGTGAAGATAGGTAGGAGGTCTTGCATTGGTTTCCGTCATGATTCCGCAGAATTCTGTACTTCGAACAGGGTCATCTTCAGTTAATTGGTTCACTATTTTAATTTTGTATGGATAATACCTATTTCTCTTCAAAAGTCTCCACACAGTAAAAGAAGACACCTCACAAACATTCGCGACGGAATGACTGTTTATGATTTACTACCATCTCACCAATTATTTGCAGTTGCTGTTCTTCCGGAATGGACGAATGACCTGGAACCTTTTTGTTATGTACACTAACAGTAATTGTGAATTTGAATACAAGTCCCTCAAACATTTTCTACAGATAGGGCGATTCGGAAAACGTTCATTGAAAATCCTTTCGGTCTCGTGTAAATTACGCGTCGCACCGTAAATAAAAATCGCTTCAATTTTTTTTTTACAATGGACGAGAATTGACCATTTTAGAGATTGATGAACGAAAACTAAATGAGAATATTTCAACTGATCAAACCTTATCGGGTTGTTGGAATTGCCATATGGCAGATAAAAAGGAATATTTCCAGGAATATCGATATTAGGTAATGTGTTTGTCTTCAGGAAATTATTGAATGTTTCGTCATTTTGTAGTAAGTGAAGATATTGACTTCATATTCTAGTGTTGTGAAGTATTCGTCAGGAGCTTCAAAATATTGTATCACAAGACCCCTCTTTCTATTCAATTTTTTTTCCCAGATGGCGCCCAGTCGCCATTTTGATTGTTTGGTCTCTCAATTTCACTTATTGATAGTTTTGATAATGAATTAATGGATGTAATAGAGATGTTTATGCATGTTTTTTACCACATTTATTTGTTACCAAGGTTACTGCAGTTTCGTCCTCTATGTTTATTTTCAAGTTATAATAATGTAGAGTTAATTTTGAAGAGATTTTGAAACGAAGTTCGATCGGGTTGTACACAAGAAAGATTATATTAACTATCGAATGCTATTAGGTTCAACTTCTCAATTTACAAGTTACATAGAATTTTAGGCATTATAACAGAACCAAACTCAGCCGGTTAAATAGTGTCAAAATCAAAAATAGTATCCATTCTTGCCAGGTAAGGCCAGTCAATTCTTCCAACTACTGAAATTTTAGAAAGTGGTTTTTATGTCACCATAGAGATGTTCAATGGAGTATAAAAAACTTGATGACTGTACAAACATTTTGGAACTGCTCGGAAACTTTGTCAACATTGGTGCCATTCATGGTTTTTATAGTATATCAATCATCAACAAAAAATCCACTATTTCTTTCAAAACATTATACTTTTCAGTGCTAGGAATCACAGGTTGAAAGATGATACCTCGGTAATCACT